AAACCGTTTCAAAGCATGTTTGGCATCAGGAGAAATAAAGCAAATCCCTGAAGTAAAAACTCAAAGTAGAACATTGTGTTTTCTATAAATAATGGGGAAAAATATGTGGGGGTGGGGGATAAAAATCTGTAATTTTATTTTAAGTCTATATCGCTGAGCTGAAGAAATACATTATATGGCTCAAGGAACACACTGTGTGTTTCTGCCAAGGTCCCATTTAGTCCATTTCAAATGCAATCGAGCTTAATCTTTTGTACAATTTGCTCCCAAATTCTTGCGGGACAATGTGGGCACAAAGGGTGAGAGTCTGTGAGTCTTTTAACAGACACCATCGCTTTCCTCAGCACCTAAAATGAGAATATGATTTATCATATCAGCTCATGCAATGTTTCAGCCTTTTGGAACAAGTGTGAAACAAACGCACACACACACACACACACACACGCACACACACGCACGCACGCACGCCCGCACGCGCGCGCGCACACACGCACACGTTTTGTGCTCTCAGTCAGCAGCCCAGCATGTCTTGTTCTTCTCTGGCGCCGTGCTCACGCAGGCAGGTTGATAACCATGGAGAAGCCAGTTGGGAAAAAGGAGCAGGAGGTCCGACGCATTTAACATTTGGACAGTTTAACACTTAAGTCACGGGCCTCGTTGGCTGTCAGTTTGTTCATTAAAAGCCTTGGCCTCAAGTGCTATTTTCTATAGCTTGGCCAGTCGCAGATTAGCTTGATGACTGCAAAAACACCTTATGAGCTACACATTTGACGCAAATGACACCTGCTGCTATCTGGTGAAAGCAGATTTAATTGTTCTACCTTTCACAATGTGCCATTGGCATCGTTAGATGAACAGAGATACATGATTTGTTGGAAAACATCATTTTCAAACCAATAGAGAGAAATCAGATAATTTCCTACAACACACATGATGGTCTAACGCAGTGGGTGGGAATTACTGATATAACGTAAGCATGTGTGGGGCAAGAAAGGTGGTGGCCATACTGATATAATAGACATAATAGCTGGGCAATTACAGACACGACAAAGATGCCTTGTGATGGCTGATTTACATTTAAATGAAGATACATGTTTAGTGTCCAGTTGGAAATCTCAGCGGAGTGCACAGCAAGCACATGCATATATGGCAAACGTTTCTTTATTTGTTTACATGTAAAGACAGTGTGTGTGAATTGTAGAGGTTATGACTGAAAGCCTGCTTAGTATTTCTTCCTTCACGTCCCGGTAACTGACAAGTAATGGCAAACGACATCAATCTGTGCAAGCGTTGAAAAAGACTTTGATGTCAATCAGTCTGAGACTCAAACGCAGTTAAAACTCTGGCAGCCACAGGGGTTGACAGATATTCAATTTCAGGCTCAGTGAGGTCTAAGCAAGGACACACCGCATTAACTGTAGTAGAATGAATCGTGGGGATGTGAAGATGTGAGGATGTGGGACATGGTCTAGAACTCTAGACCTACTTTTATTTATATATATATATATATATATACATTAATAATATTGATGAAACACTCGAAATTGTCCCTAGGTGTGGGTATAAGTGTGGATGGTTGTTTGTTTCTGTGTGCCCTGCGATTGGCTGGCAACCAGTTCAGGGTGTCCCCCGCCTATTGCCCGAAGACAGCTGGGATAGGCCCCAGGACGTCCCGCGACCCATGTAAGGACAAGCGGATCAGAAAATGGATGTATATATTTACCCCACTAAGACAGGACTTTTAATGTCAAACAGGAATGATGTGTTGGTATTTCAGCAACTGTACTGCGACCCCACCAGCAAAATTTCCAACTGACTCACTCACTACTGATCCCCCCTCACCACCCCCTAAATAATTTAGTAGGATTTTGCATGAACCCGATTAGCAAAAAATGCTTTGTTTTTAAAAATTCATGCATGACAGCAATAACTTGAAATTGATACCACATGTAAAATATAGTATCTTCGGTGTAGTACTTTCATACTGCTTGTGGAATGGGCGCATTGGCAATCTATTGTGTGCAGAACAGATTTTTCAAAGCATCCATCAACCTGTTCTATCACATTTGTTATCGTTGTGGTCGCAGGTGAACTGGAGCCTATCCTGGGGTGATTGGGCAAGATGAGGGATACGCCCTAAACTTGTTTCAGCCAAAGGCGGGGCAAACAGAGAAAAACGTTCACACTTGGAGTCAGAACTGCAGGCAATGAACCTAACATGTATGTAAAAAATGTATGTTTATGGATTATGGGAGGAAACCGCTGGAGAAAATTAACACAAGCATGGAGAGAACACGCAAAGCGTGTCGAGATTTAAAGATGGAACCTCGTTACTTCTCAGGCATATGTACGTACTGAGAAATTGTAGGTTCACTACCAGCTTTATGGGCCAGCGGGTTGATCCTAAATGCTTGCCTTGCAACGTTGGGCTCTCGCCAGCATTTGTTGTTTGCGCAGCTGCGTTCGAGGGTAAAAACTGGCAAATCTTGATTTTCGTCCCGGTACAAGCCTCAATTTGACCGTTTGGGAATTTGGTTCATGTCTGTGCCTTGATGGGTGGGTCCTTTCAACTGCACCTGACAAATTGGTAGCAGGAAGTTGTCTGAACTTTAGGCCTGCCTGAACTATTGCCGCGGAGTGTGTAACGCAATTTTGATGAATTTGATCAAGGTGCGGACAAATTCTGAGCTCGAGTGTGGTGGATGTCATCATATTTGATCCATAATCATTACAACAGTGTGGATTGAATGCTCAGAATCCTTGTAAAAAAAAAAAAATGAATGCATTATTAT